AATGGGGACGATGATGGTCTCGAAGACCGTGGCGCTCGGGCTGCCTGCGACTGTGTTCGCCTCGAGGCGCTTCACTTTGCTGTCGTACGTCTTGCAACAGCGGGCGTAGCGAACTTCTTTCATCATGGCATGAAGGTAATCCTTGGTCTCGTTGCCCGTGCTCTTCATTTTCTGCACGTATGTGTCCAGGTTGGCGAGCTGAGGCGGGTCGAGCTCCTTCTCCTGCAACTTCTGCTTGGCGACCATGATCCATGCATTCCAGACGTGGGCGTGTGGATGTGCCAGGGTGGCGATCTTCAGCTGCTTCTGGTCCTTGCTGTACTGCTTCGCCGCCTCCGAATAGTTCTCTTTAGAAGACTTCCCCTGGATGAAGAAGTCGGAGCTCTCGTTCACTTGATAATTTTCCAACACGGTTGCCTTCAGAATCCGTGACGACATAGCAGTACTGAGGGTCAGCTTGGCGATGAGAAGCACGAGAGCGGTGAGGTCGTTCGAGCTGGCTCCTTTGCGGCGCTCCTTCGCTGCACGAGGGGCTGTGCTGGTGGCGAGGCCGAGGTCCATGGCCACGAGGGTTGGAATCTGCCTGCAAGCTCTGTGGGTCGCGCTTGAATGATGAAGTAGATAGTGACCCCGAAAGGGCCGGAAAGGTGCGCCGTACGAATATGGTGATGATAGGCGTATATGTCATCGAATTCGAAACTGTGTCCAAATAAACCACATATAGAACATGGGTATGTTTTGTCGGACACGATAGGAGGTGACGGAATATATCTTAAATCGACTTTACACCGGCCGTAATACCAGCTACGACGAACATGATCTCGTGCTATCTTCCGAGTGGCGAAATGTGTCGAACACCAGGGACATATAGCTTGTTGAACGATCGAGTCGAGGGTGATCATACCGTGCAGAGACTGTTCACGTGCGCGATGTAACCGAAGTGCTTTTAAAGTATTGAACGTGCATGTGCGTAGATTACCGTCGGTACGCATGAGACCACAATAGTATTCGCCCGAGGGAAGCGCGCGCGATGATCGCGACGGATGGAGAACATCGCAATCATATTCATGGGACGGCGGTGAGATGGAGACAGATAGATACATTGCACGAAGCTCAGATACGTCCACCAGGAGAAAGTCCTCCTGTAAGTAGCCAGGGGTGAGAAGGTCGACGGGGCTCACGTCGGCAAGGAAATAAGCTGATTCCAAGCGAGACAATGCTTGGAGATCCATGCGTAGTTGATCCGTCCATGGGTGAGTGACCAGCGCGCCGTCGTCATGAGGTAATCGACCGAACATGGCAGCAACGTATACTTGATGATGTAGAGGACGACGGCAAATCTGTTGAAACCATTTCAAGCGTTGAATGCGGAGTTCCGTACGCGTGTCAGCTAAACCAATACTGCGCCAGATCTCAATAGTCGGAATGGGCTGGTACTTGATGGTGCCATCGATCTGAGTAGTCTTGATCGTAGCTTTGCCCTTGAGAAGCTTGCGAGCACGGAATATGATGTACTTGTCGAATACGGTGTAGTCGTGAGGGTCAATGCGAACGCTGTAAGACCCGATAGAAGTGCAGACCAGACTGCGCAACGAAACGCCAGAGCACGACAACGAGGACCAGTATGAGTAAACCAAAATCGACGAAAGATAAACCGTGCCGTGTTGGCAGCTTGAATGCGTAGGTGGCGTTCAACATAAAAACAATTCTTGTGGTGAATATATGGCCCGAGGTATCGGGCAGCGCGAAGAACTATGCCACATTCTTGATGGGAGTGGACCAACCGTTGATATGTGTGAGCACCTGTGCCCACAAAGTGAACTGTCGACTCGCTCTTACCTTTGTGCTGTGCGATGGTAAACCTGTCAAAACAGCGGTCCAGCTTGGCGTCATGATCATCTTGCGCATACTTGAAGCGCGCAGGAGTCGATATCACGAACTGCTTGCATAAATCGCCCACGAACGATGTGATTGGTAAATCAACTTCAGAATCATCGATGGGAGAGCGCCCGACCATATCGAGGACGCGAGTGAGAGCACTCCGCTCTTCAATGGCACGCCAGTAGGGAACGTGAAATTCGTTAGTAGCGACGCCATTGCCTTGGAGTGTGCCACCCTGGGGGCAAACGTCTGCCACTTTGTCGTGAGCTTGAAGAGTACAATGTGCGCGCCGATGGTGTTGACGTAGGAGGCTCTCACTTGAAGAATATGGTTGGGAGTCTCTGCGGCGGTCTCGTCGATGATGTTGCCGTCGCTGTAGAGCATGAGGTGATGAGTGGCTTCGTCCATGACATCATGTGATGGCGAAGCAAAAGCATTGACGACGTCGTAGTGGTGGTTCGCGATACTGGTTCCAGCTTTGGCGAACCGATGAGAAACCACGAGCTTGGTAATAATAGCTTCTTCTCGACGTCGGCCAGGAACGGCGAACTCATGATGGGGCGGTTGACGATGTGGCTTGCCAGGACGCCGAAGAAGACTTTTGTGATAGGCCTTGGAGAAAGGAGAAACACTATGAACTATGCGGACATCATCTTTCTTGGGAACTTGAAAGCCTTGACTGCGGTGAAACTGAAACGGGCTGCGGCGAGTAGCACGGGCCATCGCTAGGATATGCTGGAGCCGTTCAAGGAATAGGGCGGGTTGAAACTGATCTCCGCCGTGGCCCAGACCATGAGATTCTTCGCGGTTTTTTCCTTTAACGAAAAATGCCATCTTCCAAATTTCATTGGGGACGTGCCAAGCATGAGGGGCACGACGGTTAGAGCTTTGGCGGATCCACCAGCGAGTTTGATAAAGGTCATATTCTCCGAGGAGGCGGGATTGGTAGTCAACATGTGTTTGAGTATCATGATCCTCATAAAATTCTTGTCGAACCTGTGCGAGGGGGAGGCGTATGCAATTCCATCCTCCTTGGGAGCCTGGCTGGGATAGTTTGTTGAAGCCGTTCTTCTTCAGAGCGTTGCCGAAGTGCTGCCTTGTGATAGTTGCGAAGTCGTCGGCCGATACGTCTGCCTGTAAGTAGCCGAGCACGGTGCCGCGCCTCTGCCAGCCGACGAGATCCCCATGCAAGCTGGGGTTCCAATTGGCGTTGGTCGTGAAGTAGTAGGCGTTGCTGTGCGTTGTGCTGTCTGGTGAGGCGATTAACACGTAAAAGACGAGATATGATAAGCCAGCTCCGTAGAACAGTGTGCAGGTAACGATGATCACCACGAACTTCATGTAAATCATTAAGAGAGGCGGCCTGATCACGTAGGTCTCGTTGTTGCTGTAGAAGGTGCTGACGTTGGGGGCCGTGGGGGCATTGTGATCGGGAGACGCTGTAGTATTTCGCCGCGATGGGCAATAATCCGTGCTCGACCAGGGCGGCCCACTGTTCAGACGCACTTCTGTCGCAAAACCCATCCACATATGAAGCATTCTGGCAAACCCATTGGTCCAATGCACGTAAGAATTCTTGTCTGTGGGATCCGTATAACCACGAACGTACGAGTGAATCGAAGTCCCATCTAACATGATTGTCAGATTCGAGGCCGTCATACTGAAGATTGTGAGACACAAGAGTATACACTGGGTGATGATCGACGCGTTTAGTAGCCTGCAGCAATTGAAGTCGATCTCCAAGATGACGGAGAGTCTGGCATTTATGAACGTGACCAGCAATATAGAAATTGCGAGGAACAATGATGAAGCCGATATGGCTTGTGCTGCCAGTAACTCCATGATATCAAGTCGGGTACGTATTGTAGAACGTGTTTAGTAGAAATAGTCGTATTTGAGCAGAACATACATGAACTGCTGAGTGCGAGGTTGCTGTGAACTACGATTGAAGGGACCAGTGCACGTGTCGTCTGTTGGGGTATGGCCAGCGGGGGTACGTACAAGTCCGATGTGATTTTTAGAATCGATGCCAAGGATGGGTAAGGTACGGGACGGCATCGATGAGTAAAGATCCTCCAGCCAGCGAAGTGTGCCCGCATAGTCACGTTTGCTACGAGCAGTGTCCGTGTTCGGGGGGGAGTAAGCCGAGATGAATATATAGTATGCATGACGATTTTTACAACGAACGGCACCTCCTCTTCCCCATAAGCTTTGTGGTTTCGGATGCGAGATAGCGACGAAATTGTTACGATAAAATCTGCGTGCAGACAGTGCAATAGTGACGCCTGTGTGTGCATTGCCATACTTGGTGTGGTATCCGAATTGAAAGACATGGTAATCGCGAGAACTGTGTACGTCACATGGATCACATTCATGAACACGTCGTCGAGTTCCTTGTAGAAGAAGAACACTAGAACGTAGACAAGACGTCATGTCTTGAAAGCGGTCGTTCTGCAGTAAGCTGAGACAGTTGTAAGAGGAAATAGAGAACAAGTGTGAGGCCATGGAGAAGCACGGTGCGAGTAAGAAACGAGTGCTCACCGCCCTCGTGTCATAAACGGATTGATGTATGGGGATACGGTGGCAGGCAGGCCCTGGGAACGTGGGGTGACGCTGAAATGGGCTGAGGAGGAGGAGGAGGAGGAGGAGGAGGAGGAGGAGGAGAGGAGGCGGGGAGGAGGAGGAGGAGGAGGACGGAGGGAGGAGGAGGAGGAGGAGGAGGAGGAGGAGGAGGAGGCGAGGAGGCGAGGAGGGCGGAGGAGGCGGAGGAGGAGGAGGAGGAGGAGGAGGAGGAGGAGGAAGACGGAGGAGGAGGGAGGAGGGAGTGATGGGCGGAGGGTAGGAGAGGAGAGGAGGAGGAGGAGGAGGGAGGAGGGAGGAGGTAGGAGGAGGGAGAAGGGGCGGCAAGCTACGTGCGAGGAAGAAGAGGATGATGGAGGAGGAGGAGGAGGAGGGAGGAGGAGGAGGAGGAGGAGGAGGAGGTATGAGGGAGGAGGAGGTATGGGAGGAGAGGAGGAGAGGAGGAGGGGGAGGAGGAGGAGGAGGAGGAGGAGGAGGAGGAGGAGGAGGAGAGGAGGAGGGGTGAGGAGGAGGAGGGGGAGGAATGAAGAGCCCGCCAGCGCCTGGACATCTCCGGCGCCAAGTTCGACACCCTCCTGACGGGCATCGACGAGGTCGTCCAGCTGCCCGACCCCGTGGGGCAGGCGCCGCCCCCGCCGCCCCTGCCTTGTGGCAGGGGCTGCCGACAGGAGGCCCTCCATCGGCTCGGCTCGATGTCCGCCCGACCCGACTCGACTCCAAGGCTCCGACTATCCGGTGCGGCCCGATGCCTGCATGCGCGATCCCGTACACGCCAGTCATTTCAAGTAGGTATTCTTGGACCCTCAGAACCCAGTCTGCTTCAAGCGCCTTCCTACTTCAAGAATCGATATGCTTTTGCTGTGTCTTGTTGTTCTCTGGGGGGGGCCTGAACCCAATCTACTTTATCCGCCTTCCTACTTCTTGTTGTTGCCTACTTCTTCCGACCGACGTGTACATGCTGGCGCGGCTGGTCCGATTCGATCCCGGCTCCTTGCCGCTGCGGCCCGATCGGACGCACGTTCCAGTCCGATCGGACTTTCCGGCTCGATGCTACTTCATCCTCGGCTTCCCCTGCTTGGCGGAAGCCGGCAGTCAGCGGAAGCTGGTGGGAGTACAACGAGGGTGCCTCCTCGGGCGGAAGCAGACGGAGGGTTGGCTGCACTGCCACCCAATATATGCGTTTGTGTTGTTGTTATGGTTTTTACCTAACAGCGAAGACTGATAGGTTTCTAATTGGATTTAAAGAGAGCATCTGATGACTCCCCAGGGGGGTCTGGGCGGGAGCCGGACAGGCGAGGGCCGGGCTCGTTTTAAGCAAACAGTCGCACACTTCGTGCTCTTCGACCTCCCAGAACTCGATTCCCGGGCCACATTTTGAATGCCCAGAGTCAACTGTAGGCCACTTCGTGCTCTTCGACTTCCCCAAACTCCATTCCCGGGCCTTCCCAGAACTCCATTCCCGGGCCACATTTTGGATGCCCGGCGCCAACTACGCCACTTCGTGCTCTTGGATTTCCCAGAACACCATTCCAGCAAAGACTGATAGGTTTCTAATGGTGTCAAAAAAGAGCATCTGATGACTTCCCAGGGGGGTCTGGGCGAGAGCCGGACGGGCGAGGGCCAGGCTCGTTTTCAGCAAACAGTCGCACACTTCGTGCTCTTCGACCTCCCAGAACTCGATTCCCGGGCCACATTTTGAATGCCCAGAGCCAACTGTAGGCCACTTCGTGCTCTTCGACTTCCCAAAACTCCATTCCCGGGCCACATTTTGCATGCCCGGAGCCAACTGTAGGCGACGTCGTGCTCTTCGACTTCCCAGAACTCCATTCTCGGGCCACATTTTGGATGCCCGGAGCCAACCGTAGGCCACTTCGTGCTCTTGGACTTTGCAAAACAAGATTCCCGGGCCACATTTTGAATGCCCAGAGCCAACTGTGGGCCACTTCGTGCTCTTCCACTTCCCAGAACTCACTCCCGGGCCACATTTTGAATGCCCGGAGCCAACTGTACGCCATTTCGTGCTCTTCCATTTCCCAGATTTCCAAGACTCATCATCTTCATCATCATCATCATCGTCCCCGTAGCCTTCTTGGCTACAGCCCTGCTTTCGAAGATTTCCTTTCAAAGGAACTGCGCAGCGCCTACTGCGCACCTTCATGCCAGGACATTATGATAGTTCTCGGTCTGGCGGCGGTGCCCCTGACCCTGCTGCATTGAACAGCGGTGCTCCTCAGCCTGCGGCAGGGAACAGCGCTGCTCCTCAGCGTGCTGCATTGAGCGGTCCTCTGCAAACGCTCGTCGAGCACGTGAAGCAATTCGGCCAGATACCGGAGCGAAATAAAGGAACGTCCGAACAAAAACGGGCCGAAAACAAGTTGGCCAAACGTTTCTCGGACCATCGCGACCGCATCCCCAAAGACATTTTGCATGAACTGCGGGCCCTGGGCTGTGCTGATCAGCAGACGGATACCGAGGAGCTCAAGCGGAAGCAGAAGACCGAGGAGCTCATGCAGCAAAAGCGAGACAAAACCGAGGAGCTCATGCAGCAAGTGCGAGACCTCGGCCGCCACCCGAAGGAGTATGCCGGGCGTAGCCTCGCAGAGCGGCAGCTGGCAGAGAAAGTCCGGAAAGCACGGAAGGCCAACCAGTTCTCCCCGGAGCAGGACGCCGAGCTCCAGGCGATCAAGCAAGCGGAGAGCGAAGCCACAGCAAAGACTCGCATCGCGGAGGCGGAGGGCCTTCCAAACCCCATGGAAGGGTTCGCTGAGGAGGCGCAGAACAGGATCGACCAGGACCTGCTGATGCTCGAGAGCGGCGTCCGGACCAAGGCAATCCTGCGGCGCCTTGCCGCCTACAAGGAGCTTGTGTCCAGCCTTTCTGCGCAGCGCGCGGAATTTGCGCGGCGGTGCGCGGGCCGGCGCGCAGGCAAAAGTGAGGCGCCTGCCCTCGCCGCCGCGGCTGCCTTACTTTTGCCCGCGGTGCTTCTCAGCCTGCAGTTGCTTTTCTAGACGCGTCGGTGCTGATGGGGCAGCGCTGTCTCCTTTGCAGACACTTCGAGCTTTTCTAGACGCGTCTGTGCTGATGTGGCAACACCTGCCCTCACCGCGGCGGCTCCCTTACTTTCGCCTGCTGTGCTTCTCAGTCTTCAGTTGCTTTTCTAGACGCATCGGTGCTGATGGGGCAGCGCTGTCTCCTTTGCAAACACTTCGAGCTTTTCTAGACGCGTCGGTGCTGATGGGGCAGCGCTGTCTCCTGCGCAGACACTTCGACTATTCTGAGCCGTGTCTCCCTCCCAGACAAATCATTCATTTATAGCAGTGTCTCGTTTGCACGCAGGTCTACTGCTCATAGCAAGATCTCCTTAGTACACATATCCATCTTGAAAGCAGCGCAGAGTTCAAAGCTTCTCTCTCGTTCGAAACTACATCATTTGATAGCAGTGTCTCGTTTGGGAATGCATCCATTGATGGCAATGCCGGGGCGTGCGTGAAAAAACGACCATCCTTGTATAGCACGCTCCTTCTCCGTCACCTCCATCCCTCACTCTCCCTCCTGTCAGCGCAGCGCGCGCGTGCAGCACAGCACGTGCACACGGCGCGCGCGTGCACATGCACACACGCACACATGCACTAATAGCACACAGCACACACAGCACACACATACACAAACGCACACATACACTAATAGCATTTCCTCGGCGCCACAGGGCGCGCGCTGCGAGTGGAGGCGCTCTGCCCTGCACGCCCCCAAAGCGTGCCAGGCGCGGCGTTTCCTCGACGCCACAAGCGGTGCGCTGTGGACGCGGGCCCTCTGCATTGCAAGCTTCAGAGCGTGACAGGCGTCGCATTTCCTCGACGCCACATGCAGCTCCCAGGATCTTCAAACCATCGCCATTCTGGTTCCAAAAGCTCCCTTGCTCTACTCGTCTGCCATCGGACGCGCCACCGTGCCCTGCGCGGTCTTGCTCACCCAGTGTCACCGTGCCCTGCGCGGTGCTACTCAGCCTGTGTCACCGTGCCCTGCACGGTGCTAATCAGCCTGTGTCGCTGTGCCTTCCACAATGTTCCTGAAGGTGGGCTACCATGGCCACTGCCGCAGACCAGCCAACGCCCCCACTGGGTAGTCCCACGAAGAGCAGCGCTAAAATCCAAGACTTCCTAGTCCGGGTGTACAGGCCCAGGGAAATCAAGTACTCGTACAAGAACAAGCGCAATGGCCAGCAGGTCGATGCAATGCGATTCACGTGCATTCTGCTTGGCACGAACTCCGAGCACTATTGCGAGGCGACCCTCAAAGGAACTGCATCAGAAGTGAAGACTGGCCTCGAGAAATTCCGACCGCTCACAGCGTGGAAACTCTCCAAGCATGGCCTGGACGTCCAGCAGCAGGACGCTTTTGTCCACACGTCTGTTCGTGTCGTGGTCGATCTCAAGCGCACACAGTGCACTCCTGTCCTCCAGAGCTCTCAGGGGGCGACCTCCTTGGCATCGGCGCCGGCTCCACAGGCTACTGTGGCAGACATGATGAACATCAAGTCGCGTCGCTGCTTCGACGTCATGGCAGTGGTTCATTCCGTTTCAGACACGCGCACTCCCGTGGGCCACCCTCCAGTGGCAAATGTACACCCGGTGGGCGGCACCCAGACGACGCAGTCCAAGACTGCGGAGGCTGTGGTTGCTGTCTGGGGAAACGCCAACATCGAGAAATGTAGGTCACACAAAGGCGAACCGCTGCTGTTTCTCAACGTAGCGGCCAAATTCGAGGGCAACTTGGAGCTGAACCCGTCGCAGGATCGCGCGGTGGATGACGTATGCTCTTGTCCCAGAATGACCCAGCTCAAAGACCTGGCGGCGCAAGAGCGCTTCGCGCAGGACTGGGGGCAGCTGACAACCGCCCATGGGGTCACATGGGGCCCAGACCACGCTTCGCGGGTTCTCACCGGGGACGCGCTCTTGTCCTGCTGCGCCTTTCTGGCGATGGCGTCGGAAGACCCGACCGCAACCTTGCCGCACTTGTTGCAGGTGAACGGGGTGAGGCTCGAGGAGCTGGAGCCCGGCGACTCTGTGGTGGAGAGCAAAGGTCAGCGCGTATTCTTCATTACTACTGCCCGCGATTTCAGTGGCTCCTGCAAAGTTGCCGTCTCCCTAGCGACAGCCTTCGCGTTGAGTGGCATTGATGCCATGGCCGAGTTCCAGAAGGTCCACGATGAGAGAGCTATCTCCTTCCCTCCTTTGGGCAATTGCCGCATGATACGACGCGTGCGCCACATGGCTGCGGGGTCAGACGATGACACGCTTGAGCGGACTTTTGTCAACGCGACTGTGGTTGCAGCATCCCCGCTCCAGATATCGCACGCTCCCAATACCTCTTCCAATGTCGTCTTGGAGATCCTGAAGCAGTGCCGCGAGAGCCAGGATGCCACGCTCGCGGCGCACCTCTCTGAGATACGTCCTTGCCCCTTCTACAGCATGCGCGTGGAGTATCCCATGGCGAGTGGTGGAGGTGACGCTTCTCAGCTTGCTCGGAACTGCCACTTGGCAGTGGCTCTTGTTCGCGCCACACAGAAGTTGCGGTGCGTGTCCTCTGCGAGTGGCTTCCTCGTGTCTACACCAGGTGTGACGGG